ACCTAAAGTTGACTCTTCTCTAGTCCATTTTTCATCAATCTTAACTTTACTAAACAAGGAATCAATAGAAGAAACACCAATCATTTTAAGATCTTCATCACTACTGCGAAAGAAATCACTAGAAAACACTTTTTCTAAAAAAATCTCTTTTAGCTCTAAGCATAGCGGTTCTTTTCTTACTTTCATCCATAAAAACATAAAGAGCCTTAATTGATTCATCAACCTTAGGCACAAAAAATTTCATCTTGAGATTTTCCACATCATGAGCAATTCTATCAACACTTTTAGACAAATCATCAATCTTACTCAACTTTTCTTCTATGGAAGTGTTGAAAACTTTTTGAGTGTTGATAAATTCTTTAATATTATTATCAAGATCAGAGGTGTTCCTATTATTATTATAAGATTGATTTCCATAGGAATTTCCATAAGTATTAGAGGAATTACTAGGAAAAGGCCTAGGATTAAAATTACCTCTATAAGCATTGTTGTTGAAATTATTTCGAGAGATAAAATTCACATCTATGGCATCACTATTTTTCTCAATCATAGTAGACAAAGGCATATCATTAAGACCAATAGGAGCACTTCTACTAGGAACCAATTTCACAAGAGCATCAACATTTTCACTCAAAGAAGAAATTTCTTCAACCGAATTAACTTTTTTACTAGTAGGAGCTCTTTCGGTATGCCATTGGCCATAATTTGCCATAATATGATCAAGAAATTTTGTGGCTTCACCCAAAGTAATTTCCATAAAAGTACCACCCGTGGCGGAATCTAAAAGATTATGAGAGACAAAATTCAACCCCACATAAATTTTTGTATGATCATCCAAAGATTTAACCCATGAGTTGGGCAATTCCTTAGCATCATTTTCATCCTTTCCCAAGATTGTGCAACATGCTAATGTTCAAGTTGCTTGAAATTCATGATATGGGTTCTAAGGGAAATAATTTTTGCGGGAGGAAAATACTTAGTGATAAAAGCATCTTTGCACTTATTCCAAGAATTGATACTATTGCGAGACAAATAAGAGAACCAAAATTTTGGAGAATCACGCAAGGAAAACGGAAATAATTTCATCTTGACCACATCATTGTCCACATATTTTTTATTTTGCATGTCGCATAATTCCACGAAGGTATTAAGATGGGACGCGACATCCTCATTAGGAGTACCGGAAATTGGTCTTTCATAACAAGATTCAACACAGCAGTATTAATATCACAAGACTCTGCACTAGTGGCGGGAGGAGCAATCGGAGTGCTAATAAAACCATTGTTGTTGGTTTTTGAGAAATCACATAACTTGGTGTTCTCTTGAGTCATGATGACTACACAACAAGATTGCACTCAAAAATAGATCTGACAAGAAAACGGCGAACAAAAAAGAGTGGCGAATAAAACGACAAATTTTTGTGAAGTGGGGGAGAGGAAAACGAGAGGTAAATGGAAAATAATGTAAATTGGGAGGAGATGAGATTTGTGATTAGGAACCTAGTATATGTTGAAGATCCTCCCCGGCAACGGTGCCAGAAATTCCTTTTGATGTCGCTTGAAGCTACATCGGTATTTACCCAAAGAGCAATGGATGATGCAGCACAATGACAGTAGGTATTTCCCTCAAATATGAAACCAAGGTTATCGAACCAGTAGGAGAACCAAGCAACACAACATAAATAGCCCCTGCACACAGATAACAAATCCTCGCAACCCGACGTGTTAAAGGGGTTGTCAATCCCTTTTGGGTAACGGTGCCAGAAATTGGTGCGTGACGGGAAAAAGTTGTAATAGATTGAATAAATAGATTGCAAATAAAAGAAAGTGCAGCAAGATATTTTTGGGGTTTTGGATTAATAGATCTGAAAATAAAAGCAAATAAAAATAGATCGCAAAGGCAAATATATGAGAAAGAAGACCCGGGGGTCGTAGGTTTCACTAGTGGCTTCTCTCGAGAGAAATATCGAACCGGTGGGTGAACAAATTACTGTTGGCAAATTGATAGAACTTCAAATAATTATGACGATATCCAGGCAATGATCATTATATAGGCATCATATCTGAGATTAGTAGACCGACTCCTGCCTGCATCTACTACTATTACTCCACACATCGACCGCTATCCAGCATGCATCTAGTGTATTAAGTTCATGGAGAAACAAAGTAATGCAATAAGAATGATGACATGATGTAGACAAGATCTATCTATGTAGAGATAGACCCCATCGTTTTATCCTTAGTAGCAACGATACATACGTGTAGTTTCCCTTTCTGTCACTGGGATCAAGCACTGTAAGATCGAACCAACTACAAAACACCTCTTCCCATTGCAAGATAAATAGATCAAGTTGGCCAAAAAAATATCAGAGAAGAAATACGAGGCTATAAGAGATCATGCATAAAAGAGATCAAAGAAACTCAAATACTTTCATGGATATAAAAAGATAGATCTGATCATAAACTCAAAGTTTATCGATCCCAACAAACACACTACAAAAGAGTTACATCATATGGATCTCCAAGAGACCATTGTATTGAGAATCAAGAGAGAGAGAGATGAAGCCATCTAGCTACTAACTACGGACCCGAAGGTCTACAAAGAACTACTCACGCATCATCGGAGAGGCACCAATGAAGGTGTTGAACCCCGTCCGAGATGGTGTCTAGATTGGATCTGGTGGTTCTGGACTCTGCGGCGTCTGGATGAATATATCATCATCTCCCCTGGGGTTCTGGGATTTTTGGGGTATTTATAGAGCAAAGAGGCGGTCGGGGGGGCACCCAAGGTGGGCATAACCCACCAGGGCGTGCCTGGGCCTCCTGGCACGCCCTGGTGGGTTGTGCCCCCCTCGGGGCACCCCCCAGGCGTAGCTAGGGCCAGTTGTGTTCCTTTTGGCCAATAAAAATTCTCCATAAAATTTCGTGGCATTTGGACTCCATCTGATATTGATTTTCTGTGATGTAAAAAACATGGAAAAAACAGGAACTGGCACTTGGTACTATGTCAATAGGTTAGTACCAAAAAAATGATATAAAATGACTATAAAATGATTATAAAACATCCAAGATTAATAATATAACAACATGGAACAATAAAAAATTATAAATACGTTGGAGACGTATCAACATGTTGTTGTAATGTGAAAGTTGTATGAGGAGTTTTTCTCCGACCAGTGATCTTCTTTGGAGGAGCCTAAGGAACTACTTGAGCACAAAGATATGGCAGACAATGGAAGTAGTGATGTTAACTTGCTCACAAGCAGCAATGTCTTCCTTTGTGATAGGAGGGTCATCGGCATTCGAGGGATCACTCATGCCATACTCATCCACTGGTGGAGCCTTCTTTTTCCTTGGAGCACCCTTCTTCTTCAAACCAGAGCTGGGATCATGCTTATGTTTAGAGCGACCTTCAACTTTCCCTTCGGCCTTCTTCTTCTCAAGATCATCTTTAATTAGGCGAAAGTTTTGAGCTTCCTTGAGCTTCTTATTTTCGGCATGCTTGGCTCGAATGGTAGCATTATTTTGTTGTTTGAGTAATTCATCGGGATAGTTAGTGGGTCTCCGTAGAGATGATTCATCAACATCAGGTGGAGAAGGAGGTCTTGCTTCAGGGCCCTGACGAGGTATGGGAGATATTTCCCGGCAATCGCCCCATGGAGGATGGAAAGCAAAATTCTTGGCATAACGTGTGTGAATGAACTTATAGAAGAACCATTTTCACACCCAGTGACGTCAAATCTTTTGCAGACGCTTTTCCCTTTGATCCTCGGTTTCTCCTTCGATAGTATTGTACTTGTCATGAGATATATATTGAGCATTGTTTGTGTATGGCTGTCGTCCATCCTTTCCCTTTTTCTTTGGAGCAGTCTCTTCCTGCTCGTTGTTTAGATCATCGGATTTATTTTTCTTGCTTGTTGATGGGCCTAGCTTTGGGCCCTTTGCATTCAGTGCCTTTGACTCATCAGTCGTGCCCAAGAATAGATCTTCCTCTCTGTCAGTCTGACGCACTGGTCGGGCAGAATCTTTGATCGACTGCATTTTCCTATGAATAAGAGTACATGCGAGGGAAAATGGGATAGGGTTACAAATGCACACGACGAAGGTTTTGAAACAAAACAATTTTCGAGGGAATAGAACGATTCCATTCGCTCAAAACAGAACACAAAACCTAGATCTGAACAAGAGCGAGGGACAACTACAAACCGCATCCGCAGATTTTACCTAACTGGTGAAGATATGATAAATATGGTAAAATTTCACGAAAAAATTACCGTGAATGAACTTGAACAGAGAAATGGAGGCCCGAGTTTGTGCTACACATACCCTAGCTTGGTGATGTGCATCTGCGATGATGGCGCGGAGTGGAAGATGACCCACAGTGGCGTGGAAGGACTCCAGCGACCACTCATACGTCTCCAATGTATCTATAATTTATGAAGTATTCATGTTGTTATATTATCATTCTTCACTACTAGAGAAAAGCTTATAGGCAGACACTTACTAGTAGCGCGCTATATTGACCCACGCTACTGCTACTTACTAGTAGCGAGCTACATTTACCCGCGCTACTACTAAATATTACTAGTAGCACATGGTCTAAAAAACATGCTACTAATAAATATTCTTAACCGTGATCCGCAGATAGACCATATTAATAACGCTGGTTGCAAAACGTGCGGTACTACTAAGTCGATAGTTGCAGCGCTTTTGAGATACCCACGCTACCGTTAAGCGTGTCACTCAGATGCCACACCTCCCACCCCTGATCCACTCCCACACCGCCCACCCTCGATTTAGATCAGGTCGAGATCCCTTCCACCACCGGCCTCCCTTCCACCCTCCTCTCCTCTCATCTGCCGTCCACCCCTGTGGTGGTCGTTGTTCTCCGATCGCTATCGTCCCTCTCCCTCTCACTCTCTCCGGCCAAACCCAATCCACCCGCCACCGGTGAGCCCTAGCACACAGAGGGGTAAGATCCAACAGCCAAGTCAGCACGCCATGGCGCCGTCCCCGAGCACTTGCGCCCCCGACGGCGGCCTGGATCCCATGGACGTGTGCGTCGTCGGCGTCGCCAGCATGCCCATCAACGCCTTGCTTGGCTGCCTCTCGTCCCTCCCCGCCACCAAGCTCGGCTCCGTCGCCATCCAGGGTAACGAAATTTCTCTGCTTTCTTACTCCAATCCTCGCTACTAGTTAAGCAACTGCTCAAATCGCCTCGACTCAATGTCATGAGACAACAAGACTCGTCAAATCACCTCGGCTCAATCTTTCTATTTCGTTTTTCAGTACAGCTGATTCGAAAGCAACATCCCAAACTACTGATGGAGTGATATATATGATACCGAATCAGGAATCCAGGATCGATTCTTCAGCTAATCAACTCCTCCACGGATAGATCAGCCTCCAGATTTGTTCCATGTCTTGCCATCCTTCTTGATTTCTCATATTCCCTGTCAAACTATCCGGAGGATGTACAGTTCAGGTTCAAGCGTCTTCACTCTTCAGAGAAAAAGCAGATGATCTATTTTGTTGTTTGGCAGATAGATTAACTGGGAATTGATGATGAATAATTTGAGCAGGGGAATGGAGATGTTTACGAACGTGTCCGAGTAGTGGAAACTTGCCAGGGAGAAGCTCCTGAAGATGGTGTATGACTACTACGCCTCCGGCGCAGAGGATCAGTGGACGCTCAAGGGGAACAGGGAGGCCTTCTCCAGGATACTGAAAGTTACTATCTTCCAAGGTAGCAGGTCTCATGCTTTTAGCCGTATCTATTTATTGTATCTTCAACTTCTGAGCTGTGTATATTTTGTAGTATGCTGCTAGACGAACTGTACTTGTTTTTATTGGCATCAGCAACTAATAATTCAGAAAAAAGGCAGTAGAAAGAACTTCAGCATTAGTTTTTTGCAAGGATGACATAAACTTTTTTTGCAATATATAATGGCAAGTGTCGTGTCAATTGAAAACTTTTGCATTTTAAATCTTTGGAGATGGCGTAGGATAAGACCCAGATGAACACTTGTGGAAATTTTACAGCCCCACTGTTAGGAGTACAAGTTTAGTCCTAATAGGCTGGGCGTAAGTGGATTGGTTTGCCTTCTGATTAGTATAAGTAGATGGTAGCAGACCTGGACAAATAACATTGGATCTCAATATATCATGACATCGAGTAGAGGACAAGAGATCAGATGAGTCTTCTTGTCACATGTGGTTCGGATGGTCAAAGTAGATGGTAGTTGGATCCGAGCACCCAGTCAGTGATGCTCTGACGCCTGATTTAAAATGGTGCTCTCCGGAGAGTCAACGTCGACCCGGCGCTGGTGCCGGAGGTGTCCATGGGCAACATCCTCAGCACCAAGCTCGGCTAGGCCCCGGCCAGGCAGGCCTCTCCCCGTGTCGCCTGCCCAGCACTGTACCCTGCACCACTGTCAACAAAGTCTGCTCGTCGGGGACGAAGGGTACCCAAAATTCATCTTTTCACCAGCAATGTCTCGGTAGTAACTTGTCGCCCCTGCTAAAAAACTTATGTTGTTGCCTGTTGGCCTGCTCCTTGCTATCTGAAGTATATATTTTTTGTCCATCGCGCATTCGCTATCTGAAGAATTTTACGTAGGTAATCTTAATGTGTGTTTAGCTTTCAGTTTTTACTTCTACTTCGCAGAGTGGAAGATCGTAAGAAAACATTGGCTGATCTTTAACAATTATTCTTAGAAGTAACTTGAGCAGTATTCGATGATATATTGTGAGTCACTGAAAATGTATATTGTTTTTTCTTCAGGATATGGTCGACTATTTGAACGGATCCAGGTTTCTTCCCAAACATAACAATGACATACCTGGTGAAAGAAATGCTCCCTACAGGGAAAGGTTGAGAAGCCTAGAGAATTTAATACGTACTGATCATGGTAAGGCCCACAAAGCCTGAAATCTCATTTTGATCTACGTTCAAAGATTGCATGGTAGCATATATACTTGAAGTTGGCATGGAATATCAAAATTCAAAATAGACTTCGCTTATTCCATGTTTTAAAGAGCAGTGGGAATCAATTTTCTGAAGTCCTTTGTTGGCGATTTCCCTATCCATGCAATAATAAATTTTGAACAGAATGTTAACTGTCAAATATTTCAAGAATATATAGCTCAAATACACTAGTATTTCTTGAATGCACCAAAACAAGAAGATAGCATGAACACGTACAGCTAGGGTATGCATTTAGTAGGTGTTTTTTCGTTTTGAAGATTCATAATAGACTAAAAGAGACAGATAATTGAAGAAAATACCATACTGGATCTACACGAGGATGCGAACTAACAAGTTTTCACTTTCTCGACTGGGTGCAGGGTGATCGATGCGGACTACTACGGCCTGATGGGCGTCGTGCTCTTCAACTACTCGGGGCCGGGTAGACTTCACCGTGAAGCCCCATGACCACGTCATACAGATGATTGTCCGAGTGATTGCAACGCCGGAGGTCCCCGAGGTGGAGGACCTCGACGACACCGTTCGGAGGTCATCGAGGTGGAGGACGACGCCATCGTCCGGAGTTCCTCAAGGTGGAGGACCTCGATGCTTTGTAGATACATCTAGAGAAGTAGTCTGGCTAGGTTGGTGGTGAAACAATAGGGAAGGTACCATCCTTTTGATGATGGTTGTGTGCGTCCACGTGATCTCTTCGAGTTGATGTTCAACGTTGCATCCATGAACACTGCAAGAGTTAAGATGGTTGTGTGACCTTAATTTATTTTGCACTGGATGTGTCTCTGATCTCTATTCATGAATATTTCATCTAATTTTTATTTTTAATTCCTAATTTGTTACTAGTAGCGATGGGAAAAAACTGCGCACTACTAGTATTTAGGATACTAGTAGCGCTGGTATTATAAGCACGCTACTACTACTTTGTTAGTACTAGCGCGGTTCTGTAATAGCAGTAGCGCGGGTGTCACACACGTTGTTAGTAGTAGCGTGGGATACTAGGAGTGCGGGTACCCGCGCTGCTAGTAGCCTTTTTACCCGTGCTGCTAGTAGCCTTTTTCCTAGTAGTGCTTGGACATTTTACAATCATTTTATAGCAACTTTATATACTTTTTTGAGACTAACCTATTGACCTAGTTCCTAGTGCCAGTTGTTGTTTTTTGCTTGTTTTTTACATCGCAGGAAATCAATATCAAACGGAGTTCAAACACCACGAAACTTTTTAGAGAATTTTTATGGACCAGAACACCCAGGATGGGCCAGAGCAGCACCTGGGTGCCTTACGCCCGCTCCCTCGCCCATGCGCGCTGTGGCTCACAGGACGAGGAGAAAATTTTACTACTCCCTCTGTTTACTCCTCGTCCCTACCTTGGTTAGAGAGATTGTTTGGAATATATGTCCTTTAGTAGATTTCAATATGAACTACTCCACTAGTACATATTCCAAACACTGATGTATATATACGTATTTTAGAGTGTAGATTCACTCATTTTGCTTCATATATATTAAAACAGACATAATAGTACGCACTCTCCCTCGCCCCTCGACCCTGGCCCATGTGGTGGACGTGCATCAATTCATTAGGTCTCATATAGCCAGAATGATATATACTACAGTATCATTATTGCTCGACTTTCTGAAGAGGCAAAGAGCCAATCGCAAGGTTAATATTTTGGAGATGCCAAGCACGAGGTCTATAGGAGAACGAGTAGTAGTAGTACTAGTAGTACGTACCAGTGGTACGTACTGTACGAGGAAGAAGGCAACAAGATGTATGTTTTGCGTGACAGTCTCTTCTTACAGGATGTGCTAGACCTAGTGGACCTCATTGTTGCAATGGGACTACTCCCTATTATAGATGGCACGATTCAGAGTGGTGGGCAACGGGCATTATTCGGAGCTTCTTAGTCTTAAACCCCATGAAGAAGTCCCATCGAAAGGAATAGCCATACTCCACACGTGCTCCTATATAAAATGAGTAAATGAGACAAAAAGGGAAAGAGACAAAGTAAAAAAAATCACCAGCCTTAGATCCAGCCCTGTTGTATCAGTGAATGATATTTCTATGTCGTGATTGACATGGCTATATTATTAACCATGCTATGGAGGTAGAAGCGGATTTTTATTTATTCGGGGAGGTAGCAGTGGATGAATATTATTCAATGAGGAGTGAAATGATGGCTGCTTCCTCGGTCAAACATAGAGAAAGGTGGGCCTCGTGATTTCATGGCTTATTAGTCATTATTACTGCCTATACTCTTTGCCCATATATAATAACCGCATGGTAGTACAGTAGTGGGCTATACTTTTAATAACCATGCTGGAAGAGAAGAGGCGCACGCACCCACGCACGTAGTGTACTAGTAGCACTCTTTGCATCTTTTGCATCTTCCCCAACCACACACGTGACACGATGGAGCTCATTTCTGTAAGATGATGCAGCCCACGTGATAATTTGACGCGTCTAGTAGTAGTTACTCACTTATAAATAATGGAGGGTCGGGAACCACGCATGAATGGTGCCGCATCATTTATAAATAAAGTTTTTTTCTTCAGTGCCACGTACGCAGTATAAATAGGTTCATATGGAGAGAAAAGGAAACTGCTCCACTGTATACATAGCCAGGACGAGCCTAGACGGTTGCTTGCTGGGGTTGCTCTCTTCACACTCTCTCGCACAAAACGATTGTGGCCACATCTCTAACATTCGGGCGGATCACGTCCGCCGAGGGAAGGGGTGGATGCTTAGTGTAGATGTGGTCGCTATTGCCGACGGTGAAAACCCACTGTCGACACGTCCTGATCAGGGGTCCCCGCCATTCTCTCTCACAAAGCCAGTGAGGTTGCCTTCGTCCCTTGCTCACTATCGTGACGTGGGCAGTTGCCGCCTCCCGCCGCCCTCCTCTAGGTTGAGCTACATCCCGACATCCCTCAGGTACAACTTCCTTTAAAGCCAACTTGCACCACTGCTCCAGCTGCCCACATCACTCCATGTGGATATTTCTCTACTTCTTTGCCCCGCACATACCTCTACTGGCTTCTACGTACGGTATTTGTGATGAGTTTATGTCTCATCAACTAGTCCCAGTAATCTTATTCTAATCACGCTTCTTCAATTTGTTTGCCACAGGGATGCTCATCTCGATTTTGGTGAAACTGCACAAAATGATTCGATGGTCAAAGGGTTGCAAACTTCATTTCTTCGGAAGCTCCAACGTTGCCAGCAAATTAAATCCTAGTTAGAGTTTACGGTTGCTGGGCTAGGGACTGCATGTATTGTTTTTTTCTTTAGCTATCGCTGTTCCAAAATAAGTGTCAACTTTAGTAGTAGTAAAACTTTGTACTAAAGTTTGCATAAAGTTGAGACACTTATTTTGGAATGGAGGGAGTACATATTGGCTATGATCTGTTAATAATTGAGATGCAATAGCATGCATGTTAGTCTCCTTTGTATTTGATGAAATGTTGCAACGGGAAACCTTGGACGCAAGATACATGAAACAGAAGCTGGAAGATTCATAGAATTGTACAAATTTATCACTGAGAAATTACAGTACGTACTATACTAGTACTAAGTAAAGAGTTAGGTGTCGCACGGTGTCCAGAAAATCACTGAGCGCGAGTGTTTTCACTACTTTCGCACTCCTTCGCTGTAAGAATGGAGAAAATTGTAATCTAGTAGTACCTCCTTTTGCCGAAAGCGTGGGACATCTAGCAGTCGTACCACCTCAGTAATAATGACCAATGAGCCATCAAATCACATAGACCCAGCAGTAAGTTGGATGGACGAAGCAACCATCACTCTTGAATCCGCTTCTCCCTTCAAAGCAGGCGCCGGTGAGAGGTCATGTCCGCTCTGCCCGGGAATGAATGCAGCACCGATTCTTTGGAGCGGCGCTGGCCGTTTCAGGCGGGAAGCGCGCGCGGGCAATGGAGGGGCTTTGGGTGGGCCATGTTGGTTAGGAGCGGGCGTGGCAGCTGTTTGCCTATCCCGATCGGACGCCCGGAAATGAGAGGATTCACCGACTGTCGCAGCTAAATCATATAATACACACCATCTCTCTGTAGGAGTAGGTCGATGTATCGCTCTCTCTAACACACACATGCTGTTAAACACACACACACACACGCACACACACACACAAGTTCATATAATAGGAATATCATGTGAGTGCGAAGCCACAGGAAGCGAGATACAAATGGAGTACGTACAAGAAGAGAAGAGGTGACGAATATTCCATCAAACCTGGATTGAGGAGTAGTACTCCCTCCGTCTAGGTGTTAAGTCATCTTACCAAAATCAGATATTCCCAAAATGTTTAGGCGCCGTCCATTAACTTCGCATCTCAATCCCCTCCTGGCCTTGTTGCTAGCGAGTGTTGTTACTTAGGG